AGGAAGACAGAGTTCTCCCCTCTGTAGATGTGAGTCAGTTTGTATGTGGGGACTGCAGCTTCATTTTAAGCCATGCTAGCTGCGGGCTCTATGGCAATGACGATCTGCCGAACCACCAACTGGTACAGAAGGATTGCACAGATCACCATGAAATTTTGTAGAGACACTCCTGGCTCCCAGAAGATGAAACCCCCTGACATTCCCTCTAGCGCCACCCTAAGGTTGAAAGTTTGAGGTTTTAATGTGCCCAGAGGATGACTCCTAGGAGAGCCTCTGGTGCCAGTGGATCAATATTTTACTATGTCCAATAGTTTGGTTCATGACTAAATATTTGCCAAACTAATGACAATCCTATCAACCTCAGCTGTACTCTGTGTTTAGTACCAATTAGCAAATGATACTACTAAAATTAAATTGTGAACATGGTAAACATTACTGCTAGACACCAGCATGTTAACATGTAACTGAGTATGTTATCAGGCTGTTGTACAGCCAATGGTGTGGCTATAGATTAGTCTTGTTGCTTTCACTTTGGCTCATAAAAGTGGTTGTGCATTGGATTATTCTAAGCTGAAACAATGGCAATTAGTAAAATAAGCAAGCATTGCTATACAATATCACAAATTCCAGATGTATTTAACTGTACCTCAGTCTCTCCTATATCGTCAGTTCACCATCCAACATCTTTAACTCTTTTGCAAACAGTGAAGTAGTTCCCTGTTTGTGCAATTTATCTTTTAAGTACATACTCAAATTGCTTTTCCGATTATGCTAATTGGCTTTTATCCATCCCCATAGCTTATACTAGTGGAGTGTGCAGAAACTCATAATGAAAGTACTGTTTTTTACAGTCTTTTGGCCATCTTCCCTGTGGGATATCGTAATATATTTGGAAAATTGCTTTAGGGAAAGACGCCTGAGCACAAAGATCAAACTGATCAAGTCTACGCTGTCAAGGTCACAGAGAAAAGACATAATATCTCTTTTGTTTTGTTTGTGTGCAGATCTTTTGATACTGCAGCTGGCTGCCTTTCTGGCCCTCCAGTGTCCGTCCACTATTCCCTGTCCACCTCCGCCCATGCAGCATTAGAAAATAACCTTCACTCTGTTCTCACTGATGACTCTCTACAGCGGAAACCAGCACCCACACACACACACACACGACACCCCATGTCAAACCAATACTACAACTCAAGCTCCCTGGGGGCAGTCTGAACAAGCTGGGCTCAGAAGGGATTCCCTGTAAAACGGTGGCAACGAGGTGAGGGCTGACGGGAAGGAAGAGAGAGATGCTGAGTAGCCGGTGTGAGTGATCTTTTCCTCTGTGGTGGGACAGACTGGAAATTGCTCAACACCACTGCTGCCAGTAATCCAGCGGCTCAGCTGTTCAGAGCGGGCAGCATGTGGTGAGGAGCTACCAGAGCCGGGTTTATTGGTGTAGAAACAAATAAACACAGGAGAGCCTCGTACAGGTACAGGGGGTTTCTGTCACTCCGAGTGTGTGTGTGTGTGTGTGTGTGTGTGTGTGGCCTGAGAATGATCTTCCATGTGGGAGGTGGGAGCAGAGTCACGGCCTGAGACCACAAAAGGATGTGGAGAGAAGAGTCATCATTCTCCTTCCTTCTCGCTCACTCTCTTCTCCCACTCTTCTTTTTCTCCTCGTCTGTCTTCCTTCAATCTTTTGTTCTCCATTTCCTCTTTCTTCATTCTTAGTCCCACTTTTGGCAGCAGTGCTATTAAAGCATCAGCAAACAATTCACTTTATTAGGGAGTTTTAGAGGGATCTTTTTTCAATCAATTATTAACCCTTTAATTAACCATTAACCAATACAAAATTAAAGAATTTCCTTTACAAGTACAATGAATATTTTGTAAACCTAATATCTTGAAGAAAAGTATTTTTTATACTAAACACTGCATGAAATTATCATCTTGGGCTGCACCTAATTTTATTTTCATTATGAAATAGTATACCATGGTCTGGGTGAATACACAGTTCTGATTGGCTGCAGGGTCCCTTAATTCCTGACATAGGACACCTAGTTAATTCTAGTCTTACTGTCTGTTCACTCCATGCAGGCAACCATCCAAACAATAAAAAAAATTTAATAAAATTTTTTTTAAAACAGACCTATTATCATTCCTCCACGGTTATCAATGGTCTTCTTTTGTCCAACAACTAGTCCAAAACCCAAAGATGTTCACTTTACAATGCAATAAAACAGGGGAAGCAGTAAATCCTGAAATTGGAGAAGCTAGAAACCAGAGAAGTTTTAGCATTTTTGAGTTTTAACAATTTTTACACTCGTTTTTTATAGACAGCTGCAGACAGCTGTTTTCAGTAAACAAGCTCTGATAAATCCACTGTATGCTACCTGCCCAGCACCAAGCAGACAGACAAAATAAGCTGGTGGAGAAATTGGAACGTCGAGCAGCTAAGAACACAACATACTTTTGTCAGGAGTTGATGGACAGCAAACCAGAGCTAAAAAGAGAGTGAATTGGATTTCATCAGGTGGGCACAAAGATCACATATCTGCTTGATATCTTAGTAGTTTTATATTTTTTAAACTGAAACCAGGAAATGTTTTTTCATAATAATTGGGAAAAGGATTAATGGATTATTTAAACTGTAAGTCAAACATATCCTGTCATTTACTAATCAGTTAATTTATTGTTTCAGAAAAGCTTATACTAGACCACAGAGATGTGCGGGCTGACCTGGCTCTTCCAGTTTTACGCCAGGATTCAAAGACAAAATGATACTAGAATGATCCAAATGTGGTTGGATTCAAGGAAGAAACTCACTATTGAAAAGCAGTGTATCGTGTTCACATTACAAATGGCCTTATTATCTATGATCTGAGTAAGCTCTTGGCTCCATATCCCACCCAAACCGCCATGGTGACGGAGCATCAGTGCTGCCTGGAGACTCCGTGTCAGATCCCAGTGTGGAGGGGCAGGAGGAGGGGTGGGAGGAGGGGGGGCGGCGCCGAGGAATCTCCTGGGATCACCGCGGAGCTCCGAGACAAAAGGGACATTGTGGCACAGACTGACCCATCCAAGAAAACACTGCTTCCTGTCCCATCAGCTCCAGCATCCTCCGCACATGAGCTGCTCACTTCCCAGAACTGAAAGTCCCTTTTTAACATCATCTGCTGTTAAACAGTCGCAGCAGCAGGCAGTGCTGACCATATGCAGACACTATGCTGACACAGTTAACGATATTTGTGGAGGAACTGGCAGTTTCAAATTGACTTCACAAATAAAGATTCCGAGAATCCGTGTTCTCACTATGTTCTTACTAGATGTGTTAGAGAAAACACAGGTCAAGCAAAAGAAAAAAATAGATGTTAGAAACTAAAGTAGTGTGTTGAAGGGGTTACATTTAAGTTTAAGCCCATTAATTACATGTCTTGCATAGCCTAAATTACTGTTGACAAAGCATCCAACTCCAGCTCTTGGAACAGTTGGCTTTCCTTGCAGTCACTGGCAACAACTCATGTTAGTTATGCTATGAAAATAAACTTGAAAGGATGTGAAAGCTGCTTGACATAGATGGCTAATCCTTAATGTTTCACTGATTCAAGTTATTTTATTAAAAGGGGAACTGTACTAACTAAAGTTAAAGCTGATTTCACTTTTCTTTCACATTATAAAAAAAGGTGAAAATTCTGTTATAAGCGGGTAAAGACGCTTCCTGCTAATGCACTGAATCCAACTCATCCAAGATTGTCTGTACTGACAAGGTTTATAATCAGGAAACAAAACCCAGAAGAATAGAATAGCCCAAGTTTTCCTGTGTTGCTATCGCAGCCTCTCTGTGGTTTGTTTACATAGCCGGTCTGCTCCGCGTGCAGCTGAAAGTGACTGAAACTACAGTTTTTTTTATCATCTGCGTGGGTCAACGAAGGATTTATTTCGACCACAGCAGAGTTGGTGATTGTTGGAACAGTGGAAAGACTATTAAAGACAGTTTGGGTGAATTTTGTTTTTGTCCACTTTGAATTAAAGTTATGATGTTACAATGATATGCAAGGTAAAATTAACATTTTTGTCTCTGGAGTCTGGTGGAGAGGGATAACAAGATCATGGCTGTTTACCGTTTAAACAAAAGGTCTATATTTAGTGATCCTTTGTTTTCAGACAAATAACAATCAGAGCTGGTCAGTGGCAAAAACTTTGCTGCACTTTGACGCGCGCACTGAAACCAAGGATCAATGTTAGCTTAAGATGTGGCCACTGTAGCCCTTTTCGCAAATATTTTCTCGTGAACTTCTTGAATTAAGGACTTAATTTGATCAAATCAGCGTTGGTGATTGTTTGAAAGACTGGAAAGACTTACAAAGACAGTTTTACTTCATTTCTATACCATTGTTTTGGTCTGAGAGGCTGGTGCTCTAGTGCGACATCCAGTGACTTGTGCATTTTGTATATATACACACACCGTTAAACCACAAATTTAATTTAAATCTGAAATTTTACACTTAGGAATTTCCTTGAATGCAGCAATTATGAGAATAGTCAGAACAGCTCCTGCTCAAAAGTTTTTGATCACCTCTGAATAAAACTCACTGTTTACTGTGATGGATTACAAATTAATGAAACCAGACCATCACCTAAAAAGGAAAGAAACCTCTGCCAACACCTTGTTTTAAATTGTGAGTGATCAAGTTTCACTGGAAATCTGTTGTGACTTCATGGCAAAACAGAAACCAGTTTTACTTTGACACAACATTGAATATGTTGTCTACACAGTTTCAAATTCACTTTGATTACAGTATGCAGCTGGAATCCCCATTCTTTGTTATCAAGACTGTTATCAGCTCTTTTCCGTTTGTCTGGCTCTTAAAAACAAACCCATGTGCAGTGATTCCAGGGAATAGGAAGTCAGTTAACAATGATAATCAAACAAGTCATATCAGAAAGACCGTTTTCATTTGGAGGAACACAGTGACTAAAGATCCATGAGTGTGCTGGAGTTTGTGGGATCACTCTACCTTGACGTGACTCTGAGCGCCCAGGTTGTAGATCTCTGTGGGCTTCACCTGGTTGATGATCTTCACCAGACACGTGCTGTCAGTCAGATCGCCATAATGTAGCTTCATGTCTGACAAATAGGGGGACAAAAACCCACTGATACACTCACACTCACTCACTTAAATACAGTCACTTTCATATTATAAAACAAATCGTAATTCCAAGGAATTCACACTCGTTGGTCCGTCACATATTCATTCACCGTGACTTTGACTTTGTGAGCTTAAGTAAATTGGTGTTCAGGATTGGAAACTATTGGCAGAGGCCGCATTTGGAAGATCAACTGTATTTTAGGGACACATAATAAGCCTGTCTTTCTACATGAAGACTAAATTTCTTGTCAGGATTTCACCAAAACAACATACATTTGATACAATCTTTGTAAGGTGACAGGTGCTAGTGACAAGTTTTTTTTGTTTTGTGCAAATTAAGCAGCTGCTGGTAGTGTAAAAAAGGATACTTACTGCCTTCAGTGTGCGCCTGTGGGTTCTGGTAAAGATGCTCGATTCGACCCGTGTTGAAGGAGCTGGAACGGCGCAAAATACCGTGAACCTGTGAGATAGATAGACACACAAGGAGATTTATTCATGTCGAGTTCTATATTTTCAAATTTTACAATAATTATTTAATCCATTTCAGTTTTAACAATACTACACTATTACCATGCTTAGTTATCTTTCATGTTGCCTTGAAACAATGTTTTTTTGTTGTTAATGCAAACTTTGTGCAGCTCCTTCACAGTATAAGCTTCAACAGAAGAAAATAATGCTGATCGTATTAGCCGCTACTGTGAAGCAACTCCAAGAGATAGCTGAGATACACACACATTTACACCTTATTGCATTCACTATCTGGGTTAAACGTACAGTTTCAGTTGTTATGTACAGTTATATTTTATGCATTGAATATAGTCAGGTCTGTTTACTCAATAACAGAAAAGGGTTTCCTTAAAGGACCGGTGTGTAGGATGTAGCGGCGTCTAGCGGTGAAAGTGCAACTAAGTGAACACCGCTGGCATCGGTATTTGACAACCTGGGAATGAAAACGGGCTGTTAAGTGTAGGAGGAACTACGGTGGCTGCAAAACTTGTGAAAACGCTAAAAGTCCCTTTCTGCAGCCAGTGTTTTTAATGCTGCTTGTGATCTGTGATCTGTACTCCATGTTCTGAGGGGGATGTGTGAGGAAGCTCTGCTCAGGGAAGATAACAGAACCTGATCCAAGGGGAGTCCATTAGTGGGAGGACGCTGTGCCCTGACCTCACTTCCTTTATTCACTGTGCACTTCCTGCCTGCCTGTGCTCTCCCCTTTAATGCCACCCTCCACCCCCAGATCCCACCCCCTCTTCATCCCCAGCCTGCACCCAGACCACTTCCTCTCTCTTCTCTGCTGCTCTCTGAGGCCGGCAGCAGATGGCGAAGCTGGCCAGGCAGGCTGGGATGAAGGCACGTGTGTGTGTGCGTGTGTGTGTATGTGCGTGTGTGCGTGTTTCTTGCTACACATCTGAGGGGACATGAAGTCATAAAGCTACTGTCAGGAAAACACAATGAGCACTGGTGCACAAGTGTGTCGTGCATGTAGTAACTTTTTACGGGTGTTAACCCGACGCCGAAGCCTTTATGTATTCTTGGTCAGCCAGAAACAGCTCGTTAACCTCTGCATCCATCGGCGGGCTGTTGACTTTTTGAGCTCCTGCAAACACATCGCGCAGCAGGTGAAAGTTTGCGACCTCGCTCATATGACGGTATAATAACAACCATTTCCCTGTTAACGGTCTGACCCTAGGGGTAAAAGGCGAGGGGTGAACAGGCTCGAAGCAGCACAAATGGTCTTATCGGGGTGAGGTGTGAGTCAGTCGCTGACTGTCAGGTTACGTCATGATCCCTCAAGAGCTCCCACACACTGCCGGGGTTGGATGCAGCTTATCGAGGGAATGTCGCTCTGCATGTGCATTTAGTGTCTGTGTTCGTTGGCATTCATGAGTGTCTGCATTCATTTCTGTGTAAGTGTCTGCGTGTGTGTGTGTGCGTGCGTGCGTGCGTGCGTGCGTGCGAGCTTTCGAAAGGAGAAATTATTGGTGCAGTTGAGTCTCCAGTCTGGATTTCTCTCTCACCTCATAGCCTCTAGCAAGCAGGAACTCAGCCAGGTAGGAACCATCCTGAAAAGACAGAAGACAACACCCCTTAAAACCTGTAGAACGCAATTTCTAATACAATGAGGTTCAGACATATTGATTAATGACAAAAAAAATTCACTGACAACATTTGGGCAAAATGAATTCAAGCTATCACTCAGTGTAAATGATTCACATACTAGGAGAACCAAAAGCGGTGCTCCGTGTAGTACAACCCCAACAGATATTGGAGCTGCAATGACTAGTTGATTAGTTGTCAGAAAATAAAGTAATCAACTATTTTGTTGATTGATTAACTGTTGTGAGTTTTATTTTAAGGATAAATATCCAAATTCTCTGATTTCAGATTCTCAAATGTGAATATTTTCTGGTTTGTTTAGTCCTCTGTGACAGTAAACTTGATATCTTTGGGTTGTGGACAGAAGAAGACATTTGAGGACGTCACCTTGGGCTTTAGGAATCAGTGATCAACATTTTTTCACCATTTTATGACATTTAATGGACCAATCCACTAATGGATTAATATAACCTAACAATAGTTGGAAAAAAAAACAAAACATATTTTTTATAAAACACAACAAAACAAAATATCAGCTAAATAGAATTGTAAAAACTTAACATGGAAATAAACGATAATGTAATTATCAGATTATGTAAAATAGATTGATGTAATAGCTCGTTATTACATCTTAAGTCTGTTATTACTTCACCATAAGGTCAAAATCGGATACAGCTTCGGCTGTTTATGTAAGATAATTTTATATACTAAATAAAGGGTTATCTTATCTCTTATTAATTTATGCAATTATGGAGGAACATTATTATATTTTACAGCACACGATTGGAGAATCTCAGAGTTTCAAAGAAAGAAAAATGTTAGAGACCAGTGACAACAGAACATTAGGGTTAATATCAATGGCAGTGTTTAAAGATGGAGAGCTCCTAAAGGTGAATAAAGTTACTTTACAATGAAGCACAACAAAAACCCCAAATGATTCTTCATGTCATTGAAGGCAGAGGATGTCATATTGGATGGTTTACAGAGAACCTTGGGCAGAAACCCCCCTATAAAAAGCTCTAAACGGTCTTTAAACATTATTCTAAGTGAAACTAGTGAAGTAAACCTGCACATTGTTAAATCCATGAAACATTAATGGACATGAGAGGTAAAAGAAAAACTCTTTTTTTATGGTGCTGGAACACAACCTTCCTGAGAACCTGAATACTGAGTCCTGGGATCATTAGGTGTAACATCCACATGAATCAGGAGGTCTGGGCAGACATTGGGCCAATGTGTGCGTGTGTGTTGGTGTGTGAGAGAGCGAGCCCTGTCAATAAGGTCTTGTTCCCCTCACCCATGTTACTCCTCGTCTTTTTTCCTGCTCAGACTTTCCGACCGCACATTCTGGAACACTCTGGAACATTCCGAACCAGTCATGGCATTCATCCCTCAATCCCCCTCACATACGTGTACACACACACACACACACACACACACACACACACACACACACACACACACACACACAAAAAAAAACTTTCACACACCCACACACACAGCCCAACACACACACACACACACACACACACACACACACACACACACACACACACACACACACACACACACACACACACACACACACACACACACACACACATCTTTGCACACTGCCAGCATGCCAGCCCTGTGCGTCCTCTCCAGGTCTGGGGGTAACAGTCGAGGTGGAGGGCAGGGAGCAGAGGAGGAAGGGTCTTTGGGGGGGCTAGAGGTTGGGGGACACCCAAGAACCTGCACTCAGCGGCAGGATTGTAATGTTTCAGGCTGCGTTGGGCCAGACTGCACTGGTGGGCCAAGCCTGACATGGAGCAGAGACAAGAGATTTGCCCATGGAAGCTTCACACTCCTACACTGACAACTACGAGCAGGAGAAAATGTTTTTTTAAAAAGGAGCAACTGGAAACAGCAGAGACCGTATCCCTCGGGTTAGTTCACACAGAGTTAAAGCAGTATAAGCCGATTTCTGGCCACTAGGGGGCAGAAGAAAACAGGGCCTTCACACTGTCACCCCTCCAAGTCCAAAGCATGCAGTAGACTGATGGGATTCTGATTATGGCTTTCACTCATTTTAGGCATGAACATAAGTTCCCTTTTTATTTCACTATGATTATACATTTCAAGAAATGTGAAACTTGCTTGAGTACAGTAATTCATCGAGGCAACATGTCTGCTTTTATTGTTGTCCAAGCTTTAAAAAAAAAAAAAAAAAAAAAAGGGCCATTAGTTAAAATACAGCTTTGAGTTTCACATTGCTGAAATCTGGTTTGGAACACGGGCTAGCAATGTGTCAACTATGTACAGTGACAAAACACTCTTGACACAAGATGCACTTACTAGATTTTTCAAGAGCATTCAACCACATCAGTCTTTTCATAGATATCATGACAAGTTGTAATTTTGGAATTCTTTTCTAAATGTAATTTAAAAAAAAACAGGCCTACTGTCATTCTCCATGACTCCATCCACTGATGAAGCCAGTGAGCTGCAGTTGAAAGCAGCAGAAAATCTAGTAAGTTTGCCCAACTACTGGTTGAGAATGAACCCCAATGGTCAAATATATAATGGTATGTGTTTATTTTGGCATGTAAAAGTGGTCGACCAATATGGGTTTTTCAATGGCCTGTGCCGATTCAGAGAGCAGGGCAGCCGATGTATGATTCCAATATCAAAAACAAAACAAAAATGTGTATAATTCTATTACTCCACGCACATTAGAATCTAATATTCATGGTCATCTTAGCCAGTAAGATGATATTTTAGATGGAATTTTTAAAGATGTATGAAATACAAAAATACATTGAACTAAGCTGTTATTTAAGGAACAGCAGGGTATACAGTATGTCAGAAGGGATGTCATGCAACTACATTATTCTATACATTATAACATAATATATATTTAACACTAGTTTACTGACCAGTTTAGATTAGATTTGCTGTCATTAGGGATTGGAGAAATGACGATGGTGACTGAGGAAATCTGAGCAAACATTTACAGCAGGATGGATGAGACTTTTTTTACATCGTTCAACACCAAGAAGGCTGCTTGCAGATGTGTCTGTTCACGGCATCGGGTAATGCCAATTATTTCAAAATGCCAGATAATTGGCCCAATTAATCAGCCGAATGATTAATAGGTCTATCACTAGTTAATGCTGTGTACAGTAGCTTTAAATGAAATCTCAACAGCTGTTTCAAGCCAAAATGTGGTACTTTTTCATCCTTCTGAATAAAGACTTCATTTGGATTTTCACTTTCATTATCGTTTTTGCTCTGAAACAAAGTTGGATGGGCATAAAAATGCTAAACTGCTGGCAAAGTCCTCTGAAGACACACTGATAGCAAATGTTTTACTTGATTTACAAATAAATTTATACTCTCTAATACTCTTGATGCTTTCTAAAGAAAATGTTCAGCTTCTGCAGGTTGAGCACTCAGGCTGTGCGGTCAGTTGGCACCGATTCCCAACCTGTTTCTGCCTAACCCAGAAGGGGAGATGGGCACGGGCACTGGCAGCCCCTCGCCCGTGCCCACGGCGTTCAAAGCTCCGACCGGTGTCATGTTTTCCTGCCCCTGTGCCAGGGTCGAAGCGTTCCATGCCAGACCAATATGGAAAACAAGCATGAAGAGCTGCAGCTCTGTTTCAAAACAAGAGGCTCCTTTGAGGCCGTATTAGCCCATAAACCCTGGCCTCACCTCGCTGTTTCCTGTTATGGGGAGTTGGGCGCTTGCTGGGAGCAGGGGGTTGGACACACGCACAAACACATACACACAACTACATGCTCACCTGCCAGCTCAATGTCACACCACAAACTCCAGAGGAAGACTCTTTTTGGCCTTCAACACAGTATGATCTCTTTACTGTACAGCTACACTGATCACAAGCCAAAGCTTGTTCAGAAACAGGGTGAAAGTTGTACTCAATGAAGTAAAAGACAAGCATTGTCTCATATTTGAATACTGGTGTTAAGAAAGTGTTAACTGAATCCCCCCTCTGAATATTGAGGATTGTCTGTAGTTGTAAGGATTGACTGTAGGGAGAGCAAAGGTGTAAAAAAAAACTGCATTCAGGTACAGGTGTGAAACCTTTTATTGCCACTGAACAGAGTCGGATGACAGTCAGTATTGTTCATGCTACACAGTGGGCTGGGAGAAAAATCTCACTACACGTCGATTTATGATTTTAACTGATTTCTTCTTAGAAACTAACAACAAAAGACCCCATATCTTTATTGAAACACCACCTCGCCTCTGATTTCTTATCACTGGGGCCCCTTCATCTCAAACTCATCTCATGGGATACTATGGGAAAATAATTCTACATGTAGATGAGTGACTTGAGTGGAATGAGCCTTGTTTTAGAGACTTTAATAGCAGCTGTATATGTTTTGCTGCATTTTGAATGTAAGGTCGAATGTATTGATTAATTGCACAGTTCTACTAAACAGACTTTAAATTATGTCATAACACATGAAAACAATTAACTGTACTCAACACAAGCCACAAGCCAATTTAAATAGAACATACATTTACTTCCTGCGAGTAATGAACAGGGCAGGTATACACTATAATTACAGCTACGCCATGTTAATGATTTTAAAAGCATAATGTATGGATTGAAACGTGTGCAGCTGTTTGATTAGCTTTTTGTGTGTTTTTATCCATTTTAAGCATTTCCTGTTTGCTTCAGTACTCCTATTTGGATAAACCTTAAAATACCATTATTAAAAAATGTCTATGAATAACATAACATAAAACTAGAGAAAACAAAAGGTTAATAAAGGCAAACTCTTATACAAGTAGGCACATCGAGAGAAAAGATCAAGAAAGAGAGACAGGACTAAAAAGAAAACCTGAATCTGATGTTAATTTTAGACTAAATCACTCCATGTGTCGGAAAAATGTTAACAATGTTCGCTCATCAGTAACCCCCCCACCCCCCCTTCGAGTGCTATCATTAGTTCTA